AGTAGTAGTAGTAGTAGTAGTAGTAGTAGTAGTAGTAGTAGTAGTAGCAGTAGTAGTAGTGGTGGTGGTAGTAGTAGTAGTAGCAGTAGCAGTAGTAGTAGTAGCAGCAGTAAGTAGCAAGTAGAAAGTAGAAAGTGGCAAGTAGTAAGTAGTACGTAGTACGTAGTAAGTAGTTGTTGTTGCTGTTGTTAGTAGCTAGTAGCTAGTAGTTAGTAGGATATAAGTAGTCAACAATAATCCTTTGGCCTTTGGCAAAAGCCTACTCCGTCCGCTCTGGACAGTGCTGATCCCGGGCAGGGTGGAAAGAGACAAACCCTTGCTCGGCAAGGCTCTCACGACGAAAGTAAGAGGAAAGACACACTCGGGAAATGCATATTAAACTGGTGGCCCCGAGCCCTGCAGAAGCCTACGGCCTAAGTGAACAGTTTACCTGGTCAAAACAGGTAGTATGTAACGCGGTAGTATGTAATACGGTAGTAGTACAATTTACCTGGGCGTTCTTAAATCCACCGCTCGATGAAGACACTTCAAGTTTGCTGCGATATGCCTCCTGGACGCAGATTGCACGTACCTCCGAGAAGATGATCACCAATCCTCTCCACAGTCCGGGCAGAAAAGGGAGTAGCAAAGCTTGCCCGGGTCGCGCTCCTTGGCACAGTCCATGCCCCGGTAGCCTCTGCTGGTCCTGCACCGTAGGTGCTTCTGCCGCAAGATCGTGTCCAGCTGGGCCTGGAGCTTTGCCACCGTGTAGACCTCTACGATTCGCTCAACGAGCTAACTAGTGACCTGGCTGACGGAGTCCCCGAGATCGGATCCCGGCACTCAGACCATGTCAGAAGGTCATCGCCTGAGACAGTGGTGGTCTCCATTCAAGTTCAGCGCCACTGGCAACTGTCTCCGCCGGGCCCGCCAATGGTGTAGACGATGATGGGGCCGTGTCCACGTCCTTCCGCTTCCGCTGGGGGCGGCCGTAGCCGGAGTGGGGTCCACCTCCATCAGAGCAAACGCGGGCTCCTTGTCCTCGGTGCAGCCCAAGCCACATCGCGGGGTTGTAGCCGGAGAGGTCAGGGAAGTAGCGGTGGCCGCAGCAGCCGGCACAGCCTCCGATGCCATAGCCACATCACCCCCCTTTCAGGTTTTCAGCGCCACTGGCAACTGTACCTTCCGGGGGGGCTGACACGCAGGGCAGCCAGCGCCTGGTCCATCTCTGCCAAGTGTGTCTGGAGGTCCTCCTGCATCGGCAACTCACACTTGACAAAGTCCCCCACCATGAGGGAGTCAGTCTCAGTCGTGGGAAGGATGGTGGCTGAGAGGGCATCATCCACCGGCCTGCATTCTCAAGGATCTTGGCGGATCATGGCGGATCTCTTTCTCCCTGGCCTCAGCTTCTGATGGTGCCAAAGTGAAGGAGGGCACCGTCTCGGCAGCATCCAACAATTGCCAATCGAAGACTTCACCAGAGCGGGCCATGATGACAACAACGATGGGAGGGCGAAAGCAGATCACGGGTTTTTGCAGGAGAATGCAGGCTTGAGCCAAAATGGCACTGCATTTTGGCTAATGAAGTGTATGTCTGGAAACATAACCTGCTTTCCACAGGTTCCAAGCATGCTCAAAATATGCAAATACTTGCACGGCCAGGGTAAGGTCGTTCTACACCCGGTGGTCTTTGACATCACTACAAAACTTCCGTAGCTGACTTGCCCCCTGCCCCTCTGTGAGGGCACCCGGATCATTTTGGAACACATAAAACAGATCATTTTGGAACACAAATCATTTTGGCGACCTCTGCGAGAGGCAGGTACAAGGAAAGTCGCTGCAAGTACCTTAGCGTTAGTGTTTGATGGTTTCCCACAAGAAGCTAATAATGTCAAAAGAACCTCCGAAGACAAGAGAATAGGACAGGCAAGAGAATAAGATGGGAGGTCTTGGAGTCTTGGACAATTTTAGCCGAAAAAGGATGAAAAGTTTTCTTTTAGCCCGTGGCCCTGCCTTCTTACTTATGACTTACTACAGCAATTAAGTGGGTACCCACTTAATTATATCAGTAAGGGACAAACTTGTTCGATCCCAACTACTAGGGCGCTACTAGTAACTGGACGCAGGATAGCTCACACTATTCATTGGGTTCCTGAACTTGTAGGGTCACTCAAAAATGTGGCGGGAAACCTGAAACTGTCAGATTGCCTGTCCTCGATACTACAAATATACTGCATTTGAGATCACCCAGAAGCCAATAATGACAGTGACAGCAAGTCAATGCAAGTGCAGGTGAACAATATGCCGGTCAAACCACGCGTAAGTCAAGAACATGCTGGTCAATGCATTGTACCGGCAAGCAAGGGACGCGCCCACTAAAAGCCCTCCGGTGTCTTCTGGAAAAGGCTTACCAGAATCATCCACATCCCAGCTGTCCTGCTTCGGGAAGCTCTGAAGTCGTGGCACACAGGGCCTCGTTTGCAAAGGTGCCAGAACTAGCCTGTATACTTTCAACTTTCTGTCGTCCTTCTGGTACTTCATTTGTAAAAGGTTTCAAATGTTTCTGCAAAAGACTTGAAGTATCATACTTCAATTCTGGATCTCCTCAGACTGGCTGTGAGAGTTCGGCCGATCCATCTTCACCGCCTTGCCTGGACGGTGGCTCTGTATCTATTTTGCGACAGCCTCCAACCTAATAGCGATGGCCTCGAACCAACAACTTTTCTTATTCTCCACAATTCTATTCTCAGACACAATCGTTAAGTCATATTTTGCTTTCTGCCTCAAGACCACAAGACCATTACCAGCTTCACCATTCCCGGTCGCGGATTGCCTGCATCCTGCCCAGATACCTGAAGGAACATGCAGTCTATGTCTATGTGAAAAGGTGAAACTCCTCTGTCTCTTTCCTATGACATGTGTT